CCCTCTGGAATTCTGGGGGTACAAGCTGCCACCATACCCCCGGCACATCCTGGCAGCTCCCAAGCTGGGACCCAGGGGTCTGGGGTGGGCGAAGCGCTGGGTCTTGGGCACCACTCCAGCCCTGCCACCCCCATAACAGCAGGCCCCACCGGGTGCCAGGAGTGGGGCTGGGGGGAGCAGGCCGCCCCCGGGGCCCCGTGCTGACGCAGGGCCGGGTGGAGGAGCTGGCAGTGTTGGGGCCTGTTGGCAAAGCTTTTTTTTTTCCCAGCTCCACAAGACATTTCCCTTTCTTGGAGCCCCAGGGGGGTTTCAGCTGGGAAGCCACGTGGCCCTGGCGCTGCTGGCCACGGGATGCTTCCCGGGGCGGGGGGATGTCTCCTTGGCCATGGGCCGAGTCCCCTCCGTGCTCCCTCTGTGCCACTCGCGGGGCTCTTCCCGCACCCCAGCAGCCACCATCACGTCCTGTCTCTCCTGCAGGCTGGCCTGGTGGGTGCCTTGCCTCAGTTTCCCCATCTTTGGAAAGGCAGCGCCACACCCTGGGGGTAGGTGGGGTCACCCCAGGGAAACAGCTGAGCCGTCGGCTCCTGCACCCTGAGGGGGATGGGCAGAGACGGCACCTGGGGAGCTGAAGCACCTGGGGGATCCGAGGGAGTCTGCGGGAAGGCAGCAAGCTGCCCCAGGCGCTCCCACTGCCAGGTCTCCCTCCCCAGCACCCACTGATGCCACTGGCCGTGCCGCTGCTGGGTACCATCCCCAGCGCATCCTTACCCCTTCCCCACACCCCGGGCACACCACTCCCCAGTTTGGGGTGTATTTAGCGAAGCCGGGGACCAGCAACACCGGTTGTTGCTGGAGGTGAAGGTGCGTATGGGCAGATCAGAGGTGGGGTGATGGGCACAGGGTTGGGGCACATATTGTGCTGCCAGAGAAGCTCCCCCCCAGCTTCAGCCCACCTGGGCCACCCCTAGGCTGCCGGCTGCCGGCGGTGCTGCCTCCCCAGGGAGGGCTGTGCCGGCTGGCACGGGTCCAGGCAGCGCTGGCACCTGAGCCCGGGGCTGCAAAGAGAGCTGCTTTTCTTCCTGCTGTTTTCCAAAGCAACTGGCAGGTTCGCTGCCTGCCGCGGCCTCCCATGACCTGCGGCGGCGTCCTCGGCGCGTTCCCCT